AGTGGATGATTTTTCATAAGTAGATCCCACTCATGGTGCCCCGTGTGTGTCAGAGTAGAACTGTGCCCACAGGGTTCTCAATGGATGATTTTCCATAAGTACTTTCCACTCATGGTGCCTCGTGTGTATCAGGTAAGGATTTCAATGGCTTATATTTTGGATGTAGATTGCAGGGCCTTCCTTCCAAGATGCCTCTTGGTGGACTCAAACCTCCAACCTTGGTGTTAGCCAGCAGACATGTTCATGGTCTCACCCGGCATTTTCTCAGGAGCCTGCTTGTTGGTGGATGCTGTCTAGAGGATTGTGACTCACTGCATCCTCACATGACAGCAGAATGGCCCTTCCGTCTTCCTAGGCTCTTCTCTTTATAGGAGCAGATCACCAAGTCTTTCTTCCCGGCAGCCACTTGGGTCAGTTTGAACACCAGCCTTTTGGTTATCAGTGATGCGCTTATGTATTGAGCCACCAGGCTTCTTGCAGACGTGCCAAAGAACTTGGTTGGTGTGTGGAGCCCGGAGAAATGGTCTCTTCTTTGACACTCTTTGGTGGAGCATTTTAAGCCCGGCGCAAAGTCAAAGAGGCTAGAAAGGTGACAGAGAGGCCCGGGGTTTGAAATGAGGAACCGCCCTCTCAGACCCCCGAGCCTGGAATTGTCCTCATCAGACAAGAAAAAAGTAGGAGTGAACCAGTTGTGGTGGGGACAGGGTCTTGGAGCTTGAAACACTAACCTTTCGGTTAACAGCTGAGTGCTTTAACCATGGCACCACCAGGGGCTCCTAAAGGTTCTACATGGCAACCAGCTGTTGTTGCATGTGCTGCCGTGTTCATTCTGACTTACAACAAAACCTTGTGACCGAGTATAACTGTCACGTAGGGTCTCCTTGGTTATAATCTTTCTATTTTTAAAATAATAATGTTTTGTGTTTTCAGTGAAGGTTTACACAGTACGTTAGGTTCCCATTCAGCAATTTCCACACAAGTTGTTCAGAGACACCGGTCACATTCTTCCACAATGTGGGAGGACCCTTGCTCGTTTTTCCATTCTGGTTGTGCAATTTCCATTCATCTAGTCTCCCTGCCCCACCTCCGCCCCCTTACCGTCTCATCTTTATTTTAAAGTAAATGTTGACCATTTGGTCTCCTAGGTGATTTCTTCCAAGGGTCACTTATGGGTGATATTCATTCTCTTTTGAGCCAATTTTTCCTTTCGCTATTAGGTGGCCTCCGGAGTTAGTTTCCCTTCAGGGTGAACGAATGGTCTCCGGGAGTCTTCTGGTCGCGGCCGGTCTACTTTTCTTTTCTTTAAGGAATTTGAGGTTCTGTCCTTTCTCCCCTTCCCCGAGAAGTCATCCGTTGTGGTCTGAGCAGAATGGTCAGCATTGGTAGTCAGGCCCTATCTAGTTCTTCTGGTCTCAGGGGATATGAAGCTGGGGACTCGAACAGACTAACTTGAATGTAATCTTTGCAAGGGCAGATCACTAGGTCTTTCTTCCACAGAGACACTAGGTGGGTTTGAACCACCAACCGATCTGTTTGTAGTCAAGCGCTTAACCACTGTACTACCAGAGTTCCTTCCCCTCAGCTGTAGGCTCAGGGGTAGAATAGGGCTCACTCTCCACCAGCTGTAACGTTACTGTTACTCGTCCAAGAGAACAAGATCACGTGACAGATATGGAAATCCACAAAGCTACGTCATCTTTCACTCTTCTTACCGACTCTCCAGGCTCATTGGTCTCCTGGTGGACGTGATGAATGGACGTCTCCACTTCGATTTTTGAGAACATTGAGCAGAGCTCTATCCTTATTCTCTGGCCCTACCTGAATAAAGCCAGCTTTTGATTTTTATTTTATAATATTTATTTGCATGGCCATATACCGGAACAAACACACACCCATCCGACTGTATTTGCATGTAGTGACACTGGCCCCACACGTCACACTGTGTCACCCTTCTGTCTTGCCCCTGAAGGCTCTTGTTTGTGCTTCACTAACCTGTTCTTGTTGGTTTGCACTCAGAGACACTTCTCTATGGATTGGGCTGAACTCTTGTTCAGTCTGACAACTGTTTCTTGGGATAGTTTAGGTTCAAGGTTGAAAGATTATTTCTGGGCATTAGATTCAGGAGTTCTCCCTGGAGCCAATAAGTCTGGTTTCCATGTAAGTTTGAAGTTCTGTTCCACACTTCTCCTCCTTCTGATCAGGAATCGTCTGGTGGGTCCTTGATCAAAATGTTCAATGATGGTAGCTGGGCACCATCTAGTTCTTCTGGTCTCGCGGCAAAGGAGGCTGGAGTGTGTGGCGACAGTTAGAGCTTCATTGCTCTTCTTTCTCTGATTCCTGGGTCGCCCTCCTCCTCTTCTGTTCCAGTGAATAGAACCACATAGTGTTTTCATCTTCCAGGCATTTGTGGCAACGGCTCAAGATTCTTCTATGGTAGTCAATTAGACTACACTCTGGCCAACTCACAGACATTTACAGATTTCTTTTAAAAACAAAGCAATTGCCTGTGACAAACACACTATGATGCCAGATTCTCGGGGCAAGTGATGAGTCCCTTAAAAAAAAAAATGACTCAGTAGAGTTGACATTCAGTTCGCTTTTTATAAAACAAAAACTTTTCTTCCCTTTCCAGGTCGACTGCTAGGGAATATGCTCTGAAAATTATCAAGAAAAGCAAATGTCGGGGCAAGGTATGTATGCAGCCCATATTTTTAAATAGCGTAAACATTCTGGGAAGTAGCAACACAGAGAATAGGCCCCAAGTAAACTCTAGGTGGGCATGTGTTGACTTTAAGGGTGCATAGAATGTTATCGTGTTAGTCCCAACAAGGTGGACCGACACCGTGGCTGTAACAGTGCGTTCCAGCAGCAGTGAGTGTGAGGATGGCGCCGGGACAGGGCGCTGCTTCCTTCTGTGGGGCGCAGGTTCGCAGCTGACCCACGGCACCTAGCAACAACAATGTTAGAGATATATGCTTATAAACTCTCCCGAAATAAAAATTCGTTGGAATGATAAGGTGTGCGTATATAATTTTCTTCCCTGAAATTTTTTCATGCCAATTTCATCCCATCTTTCTGTATGGAATTAGGTTTTGTGCATTCTGAAATTTGCCAGCATAGTTTAAAGACCTTCTGTGTCTTTTGGAAACTGTAGGCTAGCTGAGTATCAGAATGTAAGAGAGAGAGTCATAGTTCGGTTCTCAGACAGCTCCCTTCTTGTATATTTCTGTGTGTGTGTGTCTGTATTAAGGTGATTTTTCCCTGTCACAGGAGCACATGATACAGAACGAGGTGTCTATCTTAAGGAGAGTGAAGCACCCCAATATCGTTCTGCTGATTGAGGAGATGGACGTGCCGACTGAACTGTATCTCGTCATGGAACTAGTGAAGGTATGAACAAAATACACATGGCACCACCAGTTCTATTCTATCGTACCTGGGGTCGCCGATTCAAGGGCCACAGCATTGGTTTTGCTTCCAAGGCACCAGACTTTCTGTCTCTCGTTTCTCTGCATCGGTATAAGAATAGTAGTTCTAGGATTATAAGAGTTTGAGCCTCGGTCTTGCTCTAAGTCACTCCATGGTCTTGTGTGTAACTTCTCTGTACCCCAGTTCCCTCAAGTGTAAAAGGAAGATAAAACGGTACCTACCAGGACTGCAAACCACAAAGTTGGCAGTTCAAACCCTCCAACTGCTCCTCATAAAGTATATACCGGGTTGCTATGAGTCGGAACCGACTCAACGGCACTTAACCACGACAATAACACCAGGATCCCTGGAGTGGCACTGTAGATTCAGCACTGGTCTGCAAGTTACAAGGCTGTCAGTTCAAACCCACCAGCTGCTCCTCAGAAAGTATATACAGGGTCGCTATGAGTCGGAACCAACTGAATGACACTTAACAACAACAACAAGCAAATAGTCAGGCGCAGGCAGTTAAGTGCTGAGCTGCTAATCAGAAGGTCCACGGTTTGAGCCTATCAGACGCTCCAGGGAGAAAGATGAGGCCATCTCCTTCCGTAGAGATTGACAGCCTTGGAAACAGTCTGGGGCCGTTCTACTCCCAGCTGTGGGGTCGCTGAGTCGGCATGGACTTGTCAGCATAGGTCTGGTTTCTGTGGTTTACCAAATAATGCTGTTGTGGGGATGGAGGAAATGAACGCCGTAAACAGGTCCCCCAGTTTGTGTCAGAAAACCTTAGGTACCGGTGTCCTTGGAATCCTTAATGCTGTTGTTTGTTGAAGAAAACAACTCACTTATTCATCAACTTTATCCAACGGAAGGGACGATGGTGGCACAGTGGTAAGCACTCAGTTTCTAAAAGAAAAGTCAGCGGTTCAAACCCTCCAGCAGCTCCTAGGGACAAAGATGGGGCAGTTTGCTTCCATAAAGATGCCAGCCTTGGGAGTCCTGTGGGGCGGCGGTTCCACTCTCCCTACCGAGTCCTCATGAGTCGGAATCGACCCCATGGCAGTGGATTCCTAGGATCTCCATTCTTGTAAAAACAGACTTAAACTTTAGTTACTAACCTTCTGGACAAATGGCACTTCCTATCAGACAAGGGTGCGGTTCCTGTAGTCACGTAAAGTTAGATTTTAGCTCAGTGAGAACATCAAATCCACGTTAAAGTGCCTCAGGAACTCCTGCCTATTTTCATGGTCATTTGAAATTTCCTGTCATTCAGAATTTTAAGAAACTCAATGTTTATTTTTCACCTTTTTATGTTATTCTCAAGTCTTTTCTGGTTAAGCTAACTTAAGGTTTACATAATCACCAAACAGCAAATACACACACACACACGTGCACACAGACACACGTACACAGAGACATGCATGCATACAGACAAGTACACATAGACACGCGTACATACAGACACGTGTACACACGTGCACACAGACACACGCACACACCTGCACACAGACACACGTACACACGTGTATGCAGACACATGCACACAGACACACATATACACAGGCTTATCTCGTTTTACCGGGCTTTGCAGATGTTGCCTTTTTACAAATTGACAGAGTTTGGCAACCCTGCAGTGATCAATTCCATGGGCACATTCACCTCAAACCCCAGGCTCGCCTTGTGTCTCTGTGTCCCTCCCCTGTTGGTCATTCGTTCTCGCGGTATCACAGAGTTACCCCTCAGGCTCAGGCACACACAGTGGACGACACTCTAATGTAGACATAACTTGTCTATGCACCGGGAACCAAAACTGGGTTAGGTTCATTTATTCTATTCGCTTTATCGGGCTGGTCTAGAAGGGAATCTGTCAGCTCTCCAAAGTCTGTCTGGATGTACACACGCACACACACACACACACACACACACACTTACGTAAAAATGCGTATGTACACCGGGGGCTCTAAAAGCGCTTTGAAAAAGTACATTATCATTTAATGCCATTTCTCCATGAATCTTTTGAACTCCCTTACACACACATAATAAAATATGTTTATATATGTAGCAAATAAAATTAATGTGAGCAACAAAATTTAAATATAATAAAATAAATAAAAATTATTGGTCTGGAGATTGGTAGAATCCAGGGGGTACAAGTGGTCCACATGCTTGGTTGGTCACCAAAAGGTTGGAGGTTCAAGGCCTGCCCAGAGGCACGTTGAAAGAAAGGTTTAGTGGTGTACTTATGAAAACTCATCCACCGAGAACGCTGTGGGGCACAGTTCTACTCTAACACACACATGGGGACACCATGAGTGGAATCTACTTATGAAAAATCATCCACTGAGAACCCTGTGGGCACAGTTCTACTGTGATACACACGGGGGCACCATGAGTGGAATCTACTTATGAAAACTCATCCACTGAGAACCCTGTGGGCACAGTTCTCCTCTGACACACACGGGGGCACCGTGAGTCAGCACTGACTCAACAGGATTTGGTGTTTCACGACAGGATACAGTAGCGATGATATTTGAAATGTTGGAATGGAGACTGGGACAGCAGAGATGGTGAGAAAGAAAAGCTGAGATGAGGGCTGGCAGAGTAAAGCTCGTGGGCGGGAGGCTCCAGGTGGGGAGGGGGAAGCCATGACTGCAATTGGGGGCAGGGATGGGATGAACGTTTACTCTGGGTATGATGGGTAGACCAGAAGGATGGATGTGAGACAGGCCCTAGAGGGGGCACTTGCTTCAGAAGAAAGGAGGTCATGGGCCTTGTTTGGAATCTGGGGAACAAGGACAGCGGTGGAATCCTCCCGTTGGTGCCGCTGAGTCGATTCCGGCTCACAGGGACCTTGTGGGACAGACTTATAATGTCCCTTAGGGTTTCCTAGACTGTCATCTTTAGGGGAGGAGTTTGCCAGCTCTCACTTCCATGGACCAGCTGAGTGGGTTTGAACTTCTGGCACTTTGGTTAGCAGTTTAGTGCTAACTGTTGTGCCACCTAAGACCCCAAACCAAACCTGTTTGCACTGAGTCGATTCTAATTGGTAGTGACCTTGGAGTGCAGAGTGGATGGAGGGCAGCCCAGCTGGAGACTGCCTTGTGATCTGATACCAGTGGGTCACGAGACAGAAGACTGGCCCGTGACTCATCTGTTTCCTCTCTCCTTTTCTCCTCCTCCTTGGTTTGCATGGAGCTGTTTGCTTCTTTCTGGAATACACATACCAAGGAACTGCCCCAATAAACCTGATGTTTCCATATCTGCAGCTAGGGGTCTCTCAGCAGGCAGAGACCCTCCCTGACCCTCTCTTGGAGCTCCAGATGAGATGACTCACCCTCACGTCTGAGGGTCTTTAAAAGCTGAGTGGCAGGAAACCCCCTGGAGCTCAGAGACCAAGCATCTGTCCTTGGCCCCCTCTGCAGGGGACTCCCTTGAACCATCTGTTAATACTTTGCTTTTGTCTCCTCAGGGTGGGGACCTCTTTGACGCCATCACTTCCACCAACAAGTACACTGAGCGTGACGCCAGCGGAATGCTGTACAATCTGGCCAGTGCCATCAAATACCTGCACAGCCTGAACATCGTGCACCGGGACATCAAGCCGGAGAACCTGCTGGTAAGAGAGCCCCCAGCACTGGAGAGCCTGCTGGTATGAGAATGCCCCCAGCACTGGAGAGCCTGCTGGTATGAGAAAGCCCCCATCACTGGAGAGCCTGCTGGTGTGAGAAAGCCCCCAGCACTGGAGAGCCTGCTGGTGTGAGAAAGCCCTAGCACTGGAGAGCCTGCTGGTGACAGAGACCCCCACATGAGAGAGTCTACTGGTGAGAAAGAACCCCACATTAGAGATTCTGCTGGTGAGAGAGAGACCCCCACACGAGAGAGTCTACTGGTGAGAGAGACCCCCACATGAGAGATTCTGCTGGTGAGAGAGAGACCCCCACACTGGAGAGCCTGCTGGTGTGAGAGAGACCCCCGCACTGGAGAGTCTACTGGTGAGAGAGAGACCCCCGCACTAGAGATTCTGCTGGTGAGAGAGAGACCCCCACACTAGAGATTCTGCTGGTGAGAGAGAGACCCCTACACTAGAGATTCTGCTGGTGAGAGAGAGACCCCCACACTAGAGAGTCTACTGGTGAGAGAGAGACCCCCACACTAGAGAGTCTACTGGTGAGAGAGACCCCCACATGAGAGATTCTGCTGGTGAGAGAGAGACCCCCAC